TTATTTATTGAATTGATCGTCATTTCCGACAAAAAACAAGAAAGAAGAAGGATGGAATTGAAAGAACTTTCTCATATCTGAAGACTCTCCAATAAAGTCTCGTGTTGATCTCAATAAAACGGTCGGTCCTATCCATTCCCCGATGAAAAGACTGGAGAAAATTGTCCAATCGGAGGTAAATATATCGCGAGACTCGCTCGGTTGTCCCTCGGCGCGGGAGGTGCGGTAGTGCACTGGACAAGTTTCATTTCCAATCGGTGGAGAAACCCATTGTCACTTACATCAAGAGAATTCCCACCGCATTCACAACCACTCCATCTTCGCCTTCGGTACACTTGGATTCTGTTTCTTTCTCTGTTCACTCGATCGTTCATTGTGGCTCAGCCATGGTCTCTCCAGTCCATGGATAGACTGCCTTTTTTTTTTAACGATACAAAAGAAACTTGTACTCGAGCGGACGCAGCTAATCGCTGATCAATTGTTCCCAGACCGACTGCCATTGCAACACGTGACTCAGAGCTTATATTTCCCTCCATTTTATTTCTGTCTAGTTCAGGAGTGCAAAATGAAGAACGTGAAGGATTCGGCTTATGGGAAGAAGTTCGTGCTGGGTTAGGGGAATAATTGTCCTCGACCACGTGAAAAAGCTCCACTTTGTCGCATCTTTTATTCCAAGTACTTGGAGAAAACATTGATTTTTCACGAGAATTAATTGGCAGACAAACGATTATCGTGAAATAATAATGATTATTATTATTTTATTGATTGCGACTTGCCGGGCAGCAATTACCAGGCTTTTGCTTATGAATATTTTGGAGATGTTTGACGTCATAGAATTTTTTTATTCGAGGTATTCAACTTTTGGATTATCGATTTGCCTTTTATTGTACCAGATTGAGATAAAATATTTAATCCATTGGGATTTTTTTAAAATCACTCCCATCAATCTTTTATATCACCAATCTGAATGCTGATGATTCATTTCCAGAGCGGGGAATTGAATGATTTAATTTATTTAAATCATTTTTACAAATAAAACTTCATAAATTCAGTTGTTCATAAATGATCGATTTGTAGATTTTGAAAGGAATTAAAGAATGGTAATTTCCAATTACACTATAATTAGGTAGATTAAAAAATCTTCATTAGAACTTTAAAAGTTTAATTAATAACATAATTGCGAAATTTCCTAATTAAAATGAAGTAAAGCTGTGCTTGTCCTCTAGAAATTATGAGCATCGAAAAGAATTTTAATGAAAAATAAATAACCGAGGACAATCAACCGGGCAATTGATGTTTTTCAATATTGTGCTATTAATTTCCAGCCAAATTGGGTAATTAGAGAGAACGTGAGTGTCACGTCGTACGCATGCGACGTCATAGAATGAGAATTAATCAATTCTGGAAATAAATGCGCGGGTTTATTCTGCACCCCCGTAATTTTCCACTTACGTTGTGACTCGAGATTTATAATTACATTTTATTCTGATTTACATGTTAATCACGGTCTGTGGGAAAAATCGGTGGAATTTATTAAACGGTTTCCGTCATTTATCACACGTTGATGGGGGGAATCAATCCACTGGTGATGTGAAAAGAATGAATCCCACTCCCACTAGACCCAATATATTTTATATTACAAAATATAATAAAAAATATAATCAAAGATATAATAAAAAATATAATCAAAAATATGATAAAAAATATAATCAAAAATATAATAAAAAATATAATAAAAAATATATTGCAATCAACTAGAAAATATTCGAATTGGCTGTATATATAGAGATATTTTTATATATATTTTTGTTTCATTTAATTTTCGTGGAAATTTACCGTTAATTTGTAATTT